TTTCCCTTCAAGAAGCCCACAGAGGCACATCTCTCCCAGTCTGGGCACTACGCTCCTGCTGGGAAAGCTCAGAATTCCCTTGGGCTTCCTGGACCCTGAGAAAGTTGGCCCAGGGCAGGAGGGGAGCCCTCTCATCACCCCCTCCTCCTGGCCACCCTGCTGGCTCCTGCACCCCCCACTTTGCACACCCCCCCTACCAATGCTCAGTGCCCCAGGCATGAACGCGTTCCAGGACTCCCCCCTCCAGGGGCTCAATGGGGAAGGGGGCCTGACTCATCCTCCTGCAGAGCAGCACAGGCACCAGGCACCACAGCCCGCCAATTTCCAGCTTGCTCGCCGAGCGCCGTGATTTTCCACTTGCGCCATCTGATTGCTATTAGGGCTGGGGAAAAGGGAATTCCTGGTTCCATAAGCCCCCAGGGGGCCCACGCCGAGTCCCGGGTGGGAAGGGGGAGGGGTGCCGCTTGGGCGGTGCTGCCCACCTCTGCCAATTCTGCGCTGCCCCTCCATGGAGCCCTCGCCCTGCTGCCCCCCCCACCGCTCTGTATCAGCCCTGAGTAAATTAAAACAACGGGGTGGGGCCTAGCCCCTCCTGGGCCAGCCTGCCCCGAAATGCCCACTGGGGGCAGACCAAAGGCGCCAGGCAAGTGTACAGCCGGTGCTCCCTCTCCTGGGCAGCCTTACCGAGCAGCAGAATGCGAGGGAGATGAACAGCTGGACTCGGGCAGCAGTGCTCGGGCCAACGTGACGTCACCAGGCGGAGAGATGAGTTCCCGGTGGGGCTCTGGGGGGGCTCCTGAGCGGGGCATTCCTTCCTGAAGCCTCATCCCTGCTCAGCCCCTCCTCCTACTCCCCTCCCCTCCCCCTCCTGCCGGGCCAGGAATTGGGTTTGGGGCGGGTTCTGCTTCCAAAGCCATCTCTTCCAGCAGGCGAGGGCTCTACTCTGAGCTCGCATTTCCCGAGGCTCCGGCCGTGCTCGGCGCTGGCCTGCTGCCCCGGCGGGTCGGTCGGCCGGAGGCGGGAGCCACAGGAAGAGCCCTCCACAAAAGGAGGCCTCTGCGGACCAGGACAGCTGCAGGTAGCTCCAGGGGCCCAGGGTCCAGGGGAGGGTGTTCCAGCAACCGGGGCTGCAGGGTGAGGGCCAGGCAGGGAAGGAAAATGACGCGGGCACCGTCGGGGCAGAGAGGTGGACGCTGTCAGGGCAGGCAGCTCCCAGAAATCCTAAGGCCCCAAGCAGAGAGCCCTGAGACCCCAGAGAGGCTGTCACCCACTGGAGAAGCTCCCCTGCAACTCCTGAGGCTCCAGGGTTCCTGGGCCATGGAGGAACTTGAAAAGTCTCCCTCCTGTGGCAGGACCTGACCCCTCCCAGCTGGCCTCACCCCCAGCCCCACTGTCCAGCTCCTGCTCTGTGCTGCTGGGCATGAGGACTCCCTCTTGGTCCCTCCCCCAACCTCACTGGCCATTCAAGCATGCATTCGAGAGGGGCTGGAAGGGAACACCCAGCAGGCAGTGTCCCACACACAGGGAGATGGCTCCCCCTGCTCTCAGCCCTGGGGTGCACACGGGGGGTTCGTGTGGGCAGCCACAGGGTGTTGGAGCTGCAGTCCCACCTTCTCCCAGGCCAGCGGCCTGATGAAGCTGTTGGCCTTGGATGGAGGCAGTTTCTGGAATGATCTGCAAGGTCTCAGTCCCCCCAGACAAGCCTCTTCAATCCAAGCTGTTAAGCAGGGCACTCCAGGCCTGGAGTGAGGAAAACAGAGGCTCTGTGCCGCGGGAGCGGGAGCGAGACAGGCCCCTCTGACGGCAGCCCAAGCGGCTAAGGAAAGGGGCTGGGACAGCCCCAGGCGCGTCGGGGCAGGGTCATGGTGGGGTAGGGGTGAAGGGACAGGAGGAGCTTCCTGCGGGCAAGGCTGCAGGAGGCTGACAGGTGGCCAGGCCACCTTTGGGCTTGCTCCGAGGGGTGGGTCAGGTGTGAGCTGCACTGGCAGCTTTTTTGAGTCAGCTTCAGTAGACACTAGTTCTGTCATAGCCCAGATCCCACCCAGAGGAACACACGTACACATGCACTCACACGCTCGCCCCATACACGTGTCACACACATGTCCTTTAATATGGCCCATCTGGGGTCCACTGGCTTCTAGATCTTTCTGTGCATGAGTGAAATTGCTTTTCAGGTTGTCCCTGGCAGGACAAGGACAAACGCACAGGACACCCACATAATGGAGGGAAGCAGATGGTAGAGAGGGGAGCTGGGGGCCCCCACTGCATGCCCAGCTGCAGCGTGGGGGGGCCCCAGCCCACTGCCTTTGGGGCACTAGTTGGCTGTGGCTGGGGTCTAGCCTGGCCGGGGTGAATGGATGAGGCTCCTGTGAGTCAGGACATCCCTGGAAACAAGGCTGGGGGCCCAGACCTGGGGTGGTGGGTGTCCAGAAGGGCCACCAAAAAGAGTAAGGGCAATGGAGAGAGCTTGGGGGGCTCTTACCAGGCGCCCGGAAGGATGAGGGCAGGTGGTAGGTCTGGGGTTGCAGGGCAGGAAAGTTCGGACAGGCCCCAGAGTGTGGAGAAGGTACGGCCTGTCTGTGGCAATGGCACAGTGGCCCAACTGGAGTCCAAGGAGGGAGACTAAAGACACACAGGTCACAGCACCAGCTATCTGCAAGCCCAATGCACACACATCACAACGCACTGGCTCACTCCGGCACATGGGGCACCCCGAAGACCCCAGGCTGAGTCACCCGTAGGCCAGGCACAGGTGCCCGCAAACGCCCCTTGAAGGCCCAGAGCGGCGCAGTCCGGCTGCGCGGGGCCGAGGGGACCCAGGCCACTGGGTGGGACGGGTCCTGCGACCGGCCCCTGGGGCTGCACTTGCGCCACCAGCTCTGGGAGGCCAAGGGTTAAAGAGGGGGCGGGCCACACGAGCAGACGGCCACCTCTTCCAGCCAATGGTGGGCGCGGAGGCAAGGGGCACGGCCCGCCCCCAGGCGGGAGGAGTGGGCGGCGGGCGGGGGCGTGTGGCTGGCG